TATTATATTATATTATATTATATTATATTATATTATATTATATTATATTATATTATATTATATTATATTATATTATATTATGTTGAAATAGAATATTGAAATAGAATATTGAAATAGAATATTGAAATATAGTATTAAAATATAATATTGAACTATAATATTGAAATATAATATTGAAATATAACAGATCCAATGCACTGGATTTAAAGGTGGAGAAATTAAATTTTAGCCTCTATAAATGCAATAGTGAAATAGTTGAAATTTTTCTTTATTAATGATAATATTCAATATTTTATATTTTATCCTCAGTCTATTAATGCAATTGTGAAATATTTCAAAATTTCTCTTATTAATTAATGATCAATGAAATATTTTCAATTTTACCCTCACTCTATTCATGCTAAATTAAATATTTCCAATTTTTCCTTCACTCTGCTCATGATAAATTAAATATTTTTCCCTCAGACTATTAATGATAAATTAAATATCCCAAATTTTTCCCTCACTGTTTTAATGATAAATATCCCAAATTTTTCCCACATTCTATTCACTATAAATTAAATACCCCAAATTTTTCACTCAGACTCTTAATGTTAAATTAAATATTCCAAATTTTTCCCTCAGTCTATCCAGGATAAATATCCCAAATTTTTCCCTCATTTAATTAATGATAAATTAAATATTCCAAATTTTTCCCTCACTCTATTAATGATAAATATCCCAAATTTTTCCCACATTCTATTCACTATAAATGAAATATTCCAAAATTCCCCTCACTCTATTAACGATAAATTAAATATTCCAAATTTTTCCCTCACTCTATTAATGGTAAATATCCCAAATTTTTCCCACATTCTATTCACTATAAATTAAATATTCCAAAATTCCCCTCACTCTATTAACGATAAATTAAATATTCCAAATTTTTCCCTCAGACTATTAATGACAAATTAAATATCCCAAATTTTTCCCTCGACCCGCCCTTCCCAGTCTTCCCGTTCATCCCTAAAGGGGATGAAAATCCCAGGAATTTTTTGGTTGAAGCTGTTTTTCTAACCCTGTGCAGGCCCTGGGCAGCAGCACTGGGAAGGTTCTGGAAGCACCGCTGGCATTGGGATCATCAGGATCATTGGGATCATCGGGATTGGGATCATTGGGATTGGGATCATCGGGATCATCGGGATTGGGATCATTGGGATCATCAGGATCATTGGGATCATCGGGATTGGGATCATCGGGATCATCGGGATTGGGATCATCGGGATCATTGGGATTGGGATCATCGGGATCATCGGAATTGGGATCATCGGGATCATTGGGATTTGGATCATTGGGATCATCGGGATTTGGATCATCGGGATCATCGGGATCATTTGGATCATCGGGATCATCGGGATCATCGGGATCATTGGGATCATTGGGATTGGGATCATCGGGATCATCGGGATCATCGGGATCATTTGGATCATTGGGATCATCGGGATTGGGATCATCGGGATTGGGATCATCGGGATCATTGGGATGGGGATGGGCGCCGTTCCCGGCGCGGCTGCGCCTCTGCAGCGTGCTCCAGGCCTTGCGCATCCGCAGCATCACCATCAGCAGGATGCTGAACTTCCTCAGCTCCCTCTGAATCCCGGGAATCCGCCAGAACCCAAGGAGATCCTGCGGGAACGGCGGGATCCGCGCCCGGCGAGCATTCCCCGGAATTCCCGTAAATGGGCGTTCCAAACCGCGCTTGGTTCCCGGGATCCGGGGATGGAAGCTCCAGCTGAGCTCGGATTTATCCACATTTATTCTGCTGCTTTCCCAGGAATTCAGAGCTGTTTATGATAATCCCTTCCAACTCCAATTCTAATCCGTGATTTATTTAGGGTGATATTCCATTCTATTCCCTGATTTATTTATGGTGATATTCCATTCTATTCCCTGATTTATTTATGATTTCATTCCCTGATATTATGGTGATATTCCATTCTATTCCCTGATTTATTTATGATGATATTCCATTCTAGTCCGTGATATATTTATGATATTCCCTATTTATTCTCTTTCCTGCCTAATAAAATCAAAGTTGCCTCCAAAATTGTGGGGGTTTTTTTGTCCCTTGGGATCCGACACGAATCCTTGCCAACTTTGGATATTGCTGGCATGGCAAGGCAATTCCCTGTAATTGGTGGGGTTTGAAATCTAAGTTTCCCTCTTGGAAAAACCTGGGATAGGGAAAATGTCCCTGCCCCTGGCAGGGGTTGGAATGGGATATTTTGGGATTTCCATCCCTCAAAAAAAACCCCTTTGGTGGCACCTCCAGCTTTTCCAGAGGCTGAGGAACAAATTCCACCCTCCTCTTCTTCCCAGGAAATCCAACAACTTCCCAACACTTCATCCAACTAAAACAAAAACCAAAATGCAGATGGAAATAATGGAAATTTTTCCTGTTTAATCCTTATTTTTTTAAAGTTATGTTTTCTTTTCCCAAACATACACAGAGGAAAATGATCCCAAATATCCCACGGCCTTAAAAACAAGACAATCCTGGATCTGGTCACTCCTCTCTTCTGCAAATTCCAGTTTTCCCAATTTTTTTTTCCAATCCTGCAGCACAGGGATTTCGGCTCCTCCTTAAAATTTAAGCACCTAAATTCTATCCAAGTTCGAATAAATCAAGTAAAAAACAAAAATAAAAGTATAAAAAGTTTCTCATACAAAAAAGAATTATACAAGGTAAAAAATGGGAGACAAACTATACAGAAAAAGAAATTCCATGGGGAAATTCCAAGCTGCCTGGAGTTCATAGAGGTGTTCCCAACTTTGGGAATTTCTGGAAGCAGAACCACAGCTTAACAAGGACTGGATGTACAGGAGCTATACAATAATTCCATATATACAGTGATTATGCAAAGGAATTTGGTGCAAGTTTAGGATTATTCTTCCCTGATCCATAAGAAATCCATCTCTAGATTCTGGCAATTCAGTAGTTTCTTGGGGTTTTTTTTGGAAGGGGATAAAAGTTTCCAGGGGAATTTTTCTCCCTGTTTTTTCCCTGATGGAAATAAAATTATTTTCCAGGTGATGAGAAAAATCAAAGTGGTTCCTTCCAGTGTTTGTGATTTTCCAGAGAGGCTTTTCCTGTGGGTGAAGCCCAGAATTCCAGGATCCACCTCTCCTGAGAGTCTTGGAAGTGGCTTCAATCCACAGAGAATTCCATTCCCGTTTCTCTGGAGGATCCTGCCCGAATTTCCCTCTGGAGTGGTGATGCCACGAGCATTCCTGAATCCCAGCAGGATCCCAGGGGAGCAGAATGGTTGGGTTGGGAAGCTCCCACCTCCTCTTCCTCCTCCTCCTCCTCCTCCTCCTTCCAGCTGGCTCAGCTCTGAGCCAAGAAACCTGAGGGAAGGGAAAACCACACCTGGATTATGGAATCTCTGCAAGCTCCTGCAAGACTCAAACCGAGAGAATTTGAATTTAAAAGTATTTAAGTTGGAAAATAAATGTATTAAACCCCCCTGTTCCCTGAGGCAGCACGGGGCTGTGGCACAGGCTGGGAGGGACAGCTCTCCACCTTTTCCAGCCAGGTTGTTTCCAGGGAGAATTAATCATGGAATTAGGTTGGAAAAGGCCTCTCAGACCATTCCCCAGCACTTCCAAGCGCTGTCCCCTTTCCAGGAAGGAATTTCCCCCATATCCAATCCAAACCTCCCCTGGCACAACCTGAGGCCATTTCCTTTTCTCCTAAATTAAGGAATTAAGAAAGAACAAAGTTTTGCTGTTGCAAACAAAGGGAAAAAAATCCATTTGATTTTTGAGGACAATTCCCCTTGTCTGAGTTCATAAAATTAAGGAATGGTCTGGGTTGGAAAGGACCCTAAAGGTCATTTAATTCCAACCCCTTCCACGGGCAGGGATAATTCCCAGCTCCTTGAATAAATTGGATTTGCAGAAATCATAAGAACTCCACAGAAAGAGGAGGAGCTCCCTCAGGAAATGCATCCCCACATGGGGATGGAACCACCAAGTCAGGAAGGTGCTAATTAACCATTAATTAACCATTCCTGAAATAAAGACCCAAGCAGCTCCTCTGAGGAATCCCAAGAACTGGTTTGGACACCCAGGTCATGCTGGGAGTGCTCTCCACACCCAGGGCAGAAATATTCCTCATTTTGTGTCAGTCAGAGGGGAGGATAAAAACACCACAAACTAGAAAGTCAGTGCTGAAGGCGGAAAGGAGCCAATTTGTGACCTCCACCACAAACCACAGAGTGGAGATTTGGGGAATTCCCTGCTGGAACTGCCCAAATCCAGCGGGACCAGGATGGGCTCAGCAGCAGGGAGCCGATACCTTGCAGCGCCTGCAGGATCTCGTAGGTGGCTGTTTCCCCAAGGCTCCTCTGCAAAGCCTCTGCAGTGCCATTGCCCTGTTCCCTGTCTCTCCACTTCCTCAGCACCAGGAATTTCTGCATGATCACCTCCTCCTCCATGGCCCGGATGTCCTCGATGTCCTTCATCTCCATCTGGAGACACTCGATGGCCATTTCCCTCCAGCGCCGGTCCAGGAGCTTGGCGATCTCCAGCAGCTGTTTGTCTGTTAAGCTTTTTGCTCCCATTCCATCTGAAAAGTATTGGATTTTCCCCCAAATCCATCCTGAGCCTCCCCAGGCCCAGCTCAAGGCTGTTCCCTCTCCTCCTGTCGCTGTTCCCTGGGATAAGATCCCAAACCCAGCTGTCCCCTCCCGGCAGGGAGCTGTGCAGAGCCACAGGATCCTCCCTGGTCCCCCTTTTCTCCAGGCTGAGCCCCTTTCCCAGCCCCATTCCCTTCCCTGGCCACGCTCCAGCCCCTCCACATCCTCGTGAGGAGCCCAGAGCTGCCCCAGGGCTGGAGGAGCCCCAGCAGGGCCAGCACAGGGGACAATCCCTGCCCCGGGCCTGGGGACCTCCTTGGCCACCCCTGCCTCATGTCCAGCCATCACTCCCAGCTCCTTTTCCACCAGACACCTTTCCCAGCTGCTCTTCCCCGAGCCTGGAGCATTCCACAGGGAAACAATCTTGGGAAAAGGGAGCTCAGTTTCACTCTCAGGACACAAAACCAGCCCCAAGCAGGATCTTCCCCAGGCAGGCCCCACCTGCAGCGCTGCCGCTTTTCTGCTTTTTGCTGTGCAGCCCCTCTTCCTCCAGGATGTTGAGGGTTGGCTTCCTCTTCCTCACACCTGGGGAGGGATCAGAGGTGCTGTCACTGCTGTCCCCTCTCCCCAGAGGGGGCACGAGGAGCCCCAGGGGATCTGCAGGGTCACTCACCGGCTGTGCTCCTCTTCTGCTCGTTCTTGTTCTGGTCATAATGGATCCAATCCCCTGGGAGAGGTGAGAGGAGGAAAATGTGGAATTGCCAGAGCCCAGCTCCAAGAATTCCCAGAGCTGTTGGGTGGATTCCAGCCCCTCAGGTTTGATGGAATGAGATTTTTTTTCCCCTTTTACCCAACGTGCTGCAGCAGGCCCAAACAGGCACGGGAGACTGCAAGTTATAATGCAATAATATGCAATTTGATATTATATTATACAATTCCATGGTTCATATATGGAATAATACGTTATAACATGGAATAATATGCAGGAGGGTTGAACTAATTTGTCTTTAAGCTCCAAATGAAACCATTCCATGATCCCAGAGATGGAGCAGCTCTGCTGGCAGGAAAGGCTGGGAGAGTTGGGATTGTTCACCTGGCCAGGAGAAGCTTTGGGATGAGCTCAGGGTGGCCTTGCAGGGCCTGGAGGAGCTGCAGGAAACATGGAGAGAGACAATTCCCAAGGGATGCAGGGACAGGACACAGGGAATGGATTCAAACTTCCAGAGGGCAGGGCTGGATGGGATTTTGGGAAGGAATTCCTGGCCGGGAGGGTGGGAAGGGGCTGGGATGGAATTCCCAGAGGATCCCTGGAAGCGTCCAGCAAGGGCAGGGTTTGGAGCACCTGGGACAGGGGAAGGTGTCCCTGGGGGTGGAACTGGATGATTTTTAAGGTCCCCCCATCCCAGAGCATCCCCTCATTCCCGAGGACTCACTCTCTCGGAGTCTGGCTTTCCAGATGGTCTCATCCGAGTCCTCCTCCACCAGGGACAAGGTGAAGTCATCAGGCTTCTCCAAATACACCTCAAAGTAACTCTTCAGCTTCATGAGTGATCCATCAACAAACTTCATCTCCTACACAACAGAAATAGAAAATAAATATAAATATTTACCTAAAATAAACGAAAGAGAAGGCAATTGGCTGATGGGAGAGACCCAAACCAAACTCAGTTTCTCCAGAGTTCTGCTGTTGACTTCAGCATCAGGATTTCATCCCAAAATTTTAGGGCTCTAAGAGGCAAATGGTTCCTTTTTGTGGCATATTTCCAGGGAAGCTGCAGTGCAGCAGGTGAGGGCTGTGTCAGGGACTCACCACAGGAGTTATTTCAGCTTCTGGCTCACAGATCAATCTGTATTTCTTTCCTTCCTGCAGTAATTTTTGGCATACAGCCGGCTTTTCAATTCGAATAAATTTCCTTTTCGAGTGTTTTACAGCATTTTCGATATCCTAAAATTTAAAAACACCATTTCAAGCTTCATATTTCAATGTTCCTGAATTCAGTAAAGGAATTAACACTTAAACACCTGTGTTCAGCATCACTGAACCCCCCCCAGCTGTTCTGCCACGGGGGTGAAATGGAATAAGAGTTTTAAACTTGAATAAAAGGAAGGTTTTTGCCCCTGTCCTCACTGTAATAGGGTAAATTAAAGTCCTGCTCCTGCCAGATGATGCCACAAACCAAATTTCCTAATTTTAGCCCGCTGCAGGGCAGTGCAAGGAGCTTTCCAAAGCTGGAATTTTATCCAGGGTTAGTTCCATGGCCTCTCTCAGACAGGCTCTGCTCTCCTCACAGGTTATTTCTGACGTGACCCTTGGCAGCAGCAAAGTTGGTGGCATGTGGATGAATTCATTGTGCTTTCCCAAATCCCCAGATTTTCACTGGACACTCCACCAGTGCCCTGGGCAGCCTGTTCCAAGGCTTGACCACCCTTTTTCCAAAGGAATTTTCCCCAGTATCCACTCTAAAGCTCCTCTGGCACAACTTGAGGCTGTTTCCTCTCCTTACGTGGTGGAAGTGACTCGGATAAAGAATGGGAATGGAAAAGCTGGGAGAGAGACCATTCACAAGGGATGGAGCGACAGAAACAAGGGGGAATGGCTTCATATTCAGAAGACTGTAGGTTTAGATGAGATTTTGGGACGGGATTTTTCCCTGGGAGGGTGGACAGGCCCTGGAATAGAATTCCAAGAGAAGCCGTGGCTGCCCCTGGACCCCTGGCAATGCCCAAAGCTGGACAGGCCTTGGAGCAGCCTGGGACAGTGGAAGGAGCTCCTGCCATGGCAGGGGGTGGGATGGGATGAAATTTGAGCTCCCTTCCCACCCAAACCACGCCAGGATCCCCCAGCCCACCCTCCCCGTGGCCGGCTCCGTACCTTGATGACGGAGTGGTTGTTGGTGG